ACGCTTCCTTCTAGCTGTTACATACTTTTGCACGAATACAATATACCCTTTTACTCTACGAGTAACGGGTATAAATATCTAATCTAATTTGTTAAAAACATATTAAAAGTTGGGAAACAGAAAAGCTGAAATAACTTTCTATTTTAAGAAGCAGAATAAAAATATCTTACACTACAATAATCTTAAATCAAAGTAGATATCTGTGGCTTTCAATAATGTTTAACAACAACATTTTATCGAGATACCCATCTACACGTGTACATCGAGGATTTGTTGAAAGAAAATCAAATATATTCATGTAAAATTTATAATTCTGTATTCTGTATTTTTCCACGTGTGTAGCAAAAGTTTATTTTTCCACACAAAATGTTTTCTGCATTGTTGTCCTCAAGTCTTTTTCTGCCCTTTGGCTTATTGGCCCTATATATAGTATGGGATGACGTCACTGTCGGCTAGCACAATCCCCTTTCCATTCATGAGAAATTGGTGGCATGGAGGTGTCTGGAAGTCCCGCTGTTTCTTGATTCGCCGGTTGCCGTCGCTGTTAGCGTTGTCCCACTGTGTCCCACTGTGTGGGCTTGTTGTGGTTCTGATTATCATGTTTACCGAGCACGCAACGAACCGAAACTCGACTTATCACAGACCTGAAGTTTAATCGCTTGTCGTAGGCAAGGCGTTACTTTTGGGTCCCCAGGTGGGCAGCCAGGCGAAATGAAAAAATGATTTTATTGGCTTGTTATATTCTTTCGCCAGACAGGCAAATCTTTCATCTACGCCATATGGATGTTAGACACTCATAATTAGCACATTCTGATGCTGTCAGAAAGCCAAACAAAATAAAGCCAAGCATCTGCCCCGAGTAACTCAAATTTCGATCAGAAATTCCTTAACTTTAATTTGCATTTTCCCATCGCTGCACAGCTCTCAGCGTTCGTTGGTCTTGGATAAATGATTTTTCCTCAATTTGTTTGCGACTCTGAATTATTCATGGAATTTCTCTTTAACATACATACAATATTTTCTTGGTCACAAGCACCCCACAGCTGACGATTTACTTGTTTTTTTCTCGCTTCGGCCAAAGTGCTGAATTATGCATAGATTGTTTATGCGAATTGTGCCCTTATTTGAAGTCCACGCTCTTTGAAATGCACAGCAATTGCAGGACCTCCAAACGAGGTCCTATTGTGGGTACTGAATTTCTTTATGTAAATTGCGTATCCGCCGCGTGAGCCCAACTGATGGACAGCCCATAAATGCAGTAGATTTTGGATGGACTGCTGCTTAATAAACTGCCAGGATAATGACAAAATTAAACGGGATTATGTCTGTCCTTTTGATGGCCCTGCTTATACTGATGCCTCATAAGAGTGTGTCTAAAGCAGGGATTACCAAATGTCTGTACGTGTGTGTCGTCCCTTCGGGAGAGAATCTGGAGTAAACGTGGCAGTTGGGGAGCCACAATATGCGCTGGCCCGAAGCTTTCATTTTAATTAACTGGGTTACCTTTGTGGGCCAGCCATTCCGGAGCCAAGTAATTACAGCAAACAGCAGCAAGGAGACTCCAGAGAGAAAAAATAAAACACAATTGTTCATCAGAATTTAAAAAAGATCACATCGGACGATGTGTCCCTACTATCAAAATTGACCTGTATCATTAAACAAAATAAACTTATATTTTAAATTAATTCAAATTCTTAAATCTTAGTTATGTTAACAAAATATAAAGTTACAGTTTTCAATCATATTAACAATATCTATCCCTTAGTACATCAAATAAATATTAAAGTTTTATAATTCAATTTGTTTATGTTGCTTTGAACTGTTAAAATCCCTTTAAAAGCTTTAAATTAAACTGAGAAAACTTTATAAGCAAAATTGATTTTATAGTTGCCTCTCTGTGTACAACAAAAACTCGAGTTGCAGTAAGAGAAACTTGTCACTGCGGGTTAAAATGTTTTTTCTTTTGCAGCTTCTTGTCCCTGATATGTGAGAAGAAGTTGCCAAGAGGACAACTTTTGTAACTCTATCCTGACTTCAAAACCAGCTGCGTTTGAGCCAATTCCAACAATCAATTTACGCGTTCGTGCTCGAATTGCTATGTTCAATTTTACGTCTGGCAATTTGCAGATGGCTGCTGCAATTTCAATCAACGAATGTATGAGGCCCTAAACAGCAGGGGATTCAGACGGGGAAAACAGGGATGAAAAGGGCAGACACCTCGAGGCCACCAGTGGCGACAATTGTCTTCCTCCTTCCCCTTAGTTTTTCCGCTCTTGGCCAAGATGTTGATTTGTCAAATGGCCACATAAACGGGAACAAATTAATGGCAGAGTGGAAAAGAGAAGAGCTGAGAAATGAGCGCCAAGCGATAATTAAAAACTATATCAGGGAAATAGCACGCGACATCTAGACAGACCATAGAAACCGAACAGAACCAAATAGAACAGCACTGTGTGTTGGCCACTAAATTTCACTTGGCATACCAACTGGCATCGATGTACTTGCGTGTCTTTATATTTCTGTGTGCGTGGATGTGGACCGGAAGCGCAGCGGCATGCAAAGACGCCATAACTGGCAGGTCGAGGAGCAGTTGAAAGCCGAGGAATGACCGCGCCAACGTCCGCGGAACCTGTGCGTTTCAGAGGTTATCGGTCTTAACCCCTTCCTGACATGGCGCCAAAATCATGGCGAGGGGTGGACGACACGTTCTGTGAAGAGAACTGCGAAAATTTTTGAACAGAATTTGATTATAAATTTATCTACTTATTATACCTAAAAATTGCCACGGCTATCAGATATCCCTTACTCTGCAAAGCTATTTTAAAACAAATATGCCCCTAACAGATGGCGTAACGTACAAGGTATATTAATCTGCTAGCGCTGATGCTATTGAAAATCTTAAGCTAAATTCCTTATTAACTTCTGAAATAGGTTTGGATTTAAAAAAAATTGATGATTACATTGTTAGATCCACATGGCTACTTATTATAAATATAAATATTTATAAATATTCATAGGTTTGCATTATATTATTATACCCTTAACAAAGTAAAGTTATCATTACCTTTTACATATTTTCGTTTCAATAATATCATAGGAAATATAACAACATAGATCGTGAGAACTATTTTTTTATATTAGGTACTTTAATCTTTAAAAATGTGTAATTTTGGTTTTGGGTCTTTTTGTTTTTTTGGGGTTTTAAAGAATGTGTTAATCATCCCTAACACTGTTTGTTTAGGTCTTTAAGATTTACAAATTCATTACTGAGGGAGTTTTTTTTCCCACAAACATTAAAAACCGCCCATTTCTGGGGTAAAATTTATGCGCAAACTAATTTAGCCAAAGCCGCACTCAACCCGCATAAAAATAGCTGGCCAAATTGTGCGGCGTTGGCTTTACAAAACGACTCAGCGCTCGAGTGGCAGCATTTAACTATGTATATGCCAGCTATATACCAGCTCTATAGCAGCATCAGAGGGATTTGGGCGGGCCGAAAGGATAAGGGATAACGGATTACGTGAGGGCTGCTTAAAAATACGAAAATACAACACTCGTGAGCAGCTGTGACAGGTAGGAATTCGCTTTGGCTTCAGCTAGGTGTACGGTGGCTTATCAATGGCAATCATGGGAGCCAAACATTTTTATTTCGCTTAAACACTTACACATCCTGACAGCTCTCTTTGGCTGTGTGTGTGTGGATGTGAGTGAGGTCACCAAGACAAGTGCATTCAAATTTCGCGACTACATCCTCCTCCCCGCTTTTCCGAGTTTCCTAGTTGGCTGCTGGTGTTCCTCGCGATTTTCCTAAACGCTTCCTATTTTCCCATTTAGGACCTGCACTGCCGTTTGCATTTGCAGTTGGCCAAATAATTTTTCACAACACACTGCACACGGTTAAACTTTTCCTTATTTTCTTTTATTTTTGAAGCACACACACGCGAGATGAATGGCTTTTCGGAGGGGCAAACGGTCGGGGGGAGTCCTTCCAGAACTTCGCGTGGGGAAAGGGAGCGGGAAATCCCTCTGATTTTTCACAGAACGCGCTTTCGAGCGAGCTAGAGGGAGAGGGAGAAACGCTCCGCAATGCCGTCCGCTGCCGTGGAGAGTTTTCGCGCAACTGAACGCTCGCCGAAAGCTTTTCCCCGTTTGCTGGGCTCCAAAAGCTTTCCCCGCCGAGCGAAAAGCGAAATTGAGTGCAATTCGGTCGAGTGGTTGCTCAAAAGTGCCGAAGGGACGAAGGGTCCTTCAAACGGGATAAACAAACAAGGTAAACACGATTGTCATTGGCGACTGGCTTTAAAACCAATAAAGATAAGCTTTAATTGCTGATCTTTTATTTATAGCCAATACATTTTGGTTAATATTTAGCTTTTAAACCAATAAAGATAAGTTTTAATTGCCAAATGAAAATAATTATTGGCAATTATTTTGAATAATATTAAGTCCTAAGAAAGTCAATTAGTTAAATTTATTTGTATTAATTAAACTAGATTTGATTGGAACATTCTTGAAAATGCTTTTGCCTAAGTTTTTTTGTGTTATGCTAGAAAGACGTATATAAATGTCGTAAAGTTATCAGATATAATCTATCCGTAAAAATGTTTCGATCAACATAATAATAAATAAATAAATATCTTATTTACCAAAAGACGTAATAAATATCCTATTTACCAAAAGACGTAATGATGGAAAATTGATTACAACATTATCCATTAGACCATTTGTTAAAAGTCTTCCCGATCAATATTTAGCATTTTTTGGCATAAAAGCTCACAAACATTTTCCAGAGATTTTGCAGATAACCATGGTCCCTTATATCAGCACTCAAACTTCCTATAAACAAAATACTGAGAGATTAAAAAAAGAGAGACTATGAGAGAGATTACTGAAAATAAAGATTGTGCCGAAGCTTGTGACAGATAACACGATCGCTCGTGTGGGAGCCGAGTTCAAGTCGATCTTCTGTCGGGTCCGAAACTCAGAATTCCAGAGCCGTTGGTCAGTCAATCGGGAGTTGTGCAGCCGGAAGCTTGGAACCGGAGATCGTTGGTCCAGAAAATTTAAAGCGGATTTGGAATAGTGTTTCAGCAAAGTGCTTTCCATACCCTTTTAGTAACTCAAAACTGTGACTTTCGAAACTGGCGGCTGGTTCGAAAGTTTCGAGTTCTAAAAAATATAATTAACTAGAAGTAGCTCCGAAGAAGGAAATCGAAAACACCGGTAAGTGGGCATGCTTTAGTCGGTCTCTGCGCCTTCTCCGCAGATTCGTGAGCGCCATTATTGCAGGAAAGCGAAACTACCGTTATCAGTTAGATTTCCAGTGCCTTGCACTTTATACTTTCGCTCTGCTCCTCCTCCCTTTCCCTCCCACCTCACTGCCTTCAGTCGCCGAGAAGTTCTGCATTTACATCTCGTTACACTGGCCAACAGGGTTTCGCTTCGTTTCATTTTCATTCCCCTGCGCCATGTGTATGTGTTTTGAATTTTGCATTTTATGGAGATACACTTTGATCCCAAGAAACAAATTTTTGATAATTTTATTGTTTTTGTTATTTAATTGAGAATTCGCGTATTTTCTGGGCGATGCAATAAGCTCTATAAATATAAAATTAATGAATGCTATGCTTGTGTAACTTTATATTATATGCCAGATTTCTTTCATGGCGTACAGAATAAGAATGGAAAGCTATCTACAAACGAGGAGCATTTAAAAAGTCATTTATTTGATCAAATGCGAACGAAAGAGTAACTAACTATAGGGCGCAAATTGATGATCCGCAATAGATTTTCAAATCACCAATAACCTAACTAATAACCTCACCCACACAATGATTGCCCCGATTGTTCTGAGACGGAGATCTCCCGTAATCAACGTTTGCAACTATTCCTCCAGCCGGAATCGTACAAAGTTCAGATGGTCTAATTTTAAAATACTTAATTTGTTTTGATTTTTGTTGCTGCTTCTTAATTTTTTGCCGTTAGTCATTGTCTACGGAAGGTATAAAGTGCTATACATAAAGTTCGACTATAAGTTTTCCGTCTGGCAAATCGAATCTCTATGTTATCTCGAACTCAAACCAGTGCGAAGTGCCGATCCGCTTCGATAAGCCATCCACTTTCGGTTCCTCTACCAGACGACCTCGCATTGTCAGGTTTATAAATACTGTATTACCATATTCTCTGATTGTTCAGCCACTAATCACGCGGCAATCCCGAATTGCACGGATACCTTTATGACTGCTCTAGTAATTGGCGATAATTAAATCGCCATTACGCTGAACTCATACCGAAATATAAAAACGACCTTTCAAGATAAGAGCCTCGACTTAACTTATATGCAAATTTTAATTTCAACCATAATGGGCTAACTTGTTCCGGCTTTTAATTAAAAAAAATTAGATTATTATTTGGCGCCGGTTTTTTTTTAATTTATAAAGTCAACATTGTCCGTTATTGTGTTATCCGATTTTAATATAAACATGCATCCATATATATGTATATAAACAAATTTTTCTATCAAATGGAACTATTGGCACGGCAAATAATATAGTTGCACGTGTTCATTTGCTGAAAAAATTTGGATAACAAACAGAACGACATATTTATTTGCTGGTACTGACAGTTATTTCTACAATAAATTGATATGAGTTTGTAGCCTTAGTGGAGAATATTTTTTTAAAGCATCCTAGTTAAATTAGTCCATTAATTATACAAAATCAATAAAACAACCTATAAATGATTAGAGCAATATTAACTTTATTGCTTCCTGTTTTATTTATAATGGTACTAAGACGCAGTATTTTTAACAAAGTATTTTAAACTTAATTTAAAATGTTTAGAGTAAAGCACCCCTACAAATTAGGCAGTGTTTAACTTGAAGTTGGAGTTGCGCAAGGGCTGTTGCATTATCTGTAGAAATTACAACCAATAAAATGTGTATTTCTTTATCAGCAAGATGTCACTGGAGACGGAGACGGCGGCGGGAGCAAAAGATCAGCACCAGCACGACCATATCGACGAGGATGAAGTCAGCGAACTGCAGAAGTCGCGCAGCTTCTACGATCGGGTTCGCGAACAGGCAGAGCGATTTGCCAGTACGCAAATTGGCCAATTCGTGATCGAACGGGCGGATCGGGCGCTGGTGATGATCGAGGATACGGCCAAGTGGAGTCTGCCGCAGGGTGAGCATAGCTCCTATCATCGATTAGAACTATGAAAACCCCTAAGTTGTTCTCTTTCTGTCTAATAGAGAAATCTGCTGCTCCCTTGGAACGTCCTTTGCCTTGGGGTCCCTTTCTGCTGCTCATCATCCTGCTGCGACTCACTCGCATCTGGTTGTCGGTGGGAGCCCTGATGATCGGCAATGGACCCGTATCCCCCTCGGACATGGTCTACTTCATACAGACGCGACGCCGCAAGCTGCGGGCCGTCCGAACGCATGGCCTGAAGGTCATGAGGCATCGTCAGCAGGAAGTGTCCTACGGCAGTGGCAAGGGTCTGACCCACAAGGTTACCCAGTGGTTCTCCCGGGCCATTTGCCGTCCGGGAGTCCAGCAGGACAACAACACTCGGCCGGTGTTTGTGCGCCACTCGGAGCAGGTGAGTCTATCAGATTTCCTAAGTTTCAATCAAACATTAACCCATATATACAGGGCTTGAATACTTCCAGTGTTGTTAAGCGTCCGCGGGAGGAAGACTCCAATGCCGATCACGATCCCGATCATAACCTAACCATTGACCAGATGCTGGCCAAGTACGCCAATGATAACTCCGAGGATGACTCCGACTTTGTGCCCAACGAAGAGGAGGATGACAGCAGCAGCACCAGCGAGGAAAGCGAATCCGAAACCCACTCCAGCGAGGGAATGAGCAGCAACGAGGTGGAGGAGCTTGTCGAGCAGGTGAGGAGTATATCAACCCCCCACTTGGTTCTTCATTTAACCAAGATTTCCCATTAGGCCAAGCAGAAGCCAGCAAACGCGGTGGTGGAAAACGGAGTGCACAAGGCCGAAGAGAAGGAAAATGATAAGGGGAAACTGAACATAACGACAACCAGCAATGGCAACAACGACAAGGAGAAGGCGGAAGTTGGTAATGGACATTGAACTTGAACATTATTAAGACTCTCGTGCGTAGTCCCCTAAGTCTAGGTTAACTCCAAGTATCGATTATCGAATTAAGCGTAGATGAAAACTGAACTTGAAACGTTGTCATGAAATACAATACAATACCGATACTACAATACACAAAGCTCGTGGTTGCGAACTCCATTCAGTCATTATCATTTCCGTAGATCATCTATCCATTGCAGGATCGAAAAATTCCAAATTTACCACCAAGCCTCTTGTGAGTTTGGCCCCTCGTTTCATATCCTTCCCGTTGCCCTGACCTCGAATCTCTCTCTGTTTCTCCCCCATTCCCACCCGAATGATAATGATAGCAGCTGACCAGCGGGATGAGGAGTGGAAGTCTTCGCCAGGACACATGAGTGCTGCCATGATGAACACCCGGCTCTACAATAACACCGCGGCTGCAGGTAACTCACGCGAGACTCGCTCCGTGTGGTCCCAATTAACATTTTAACGTTAGTATTCTGTCTCTGTTTCTGTTACTCCGTGCATGTGTTCAAACACAACAGCCAGCACTGATTCCGAGCCTGAAACTGATCCTGAACCCCAATCCGAACCTCCATCCCAATCCCAACCCGAAAACGAAGAATACGACGAAGAAGAGGAGGATAGTTGCAGCACCAGTGGCAGTAGTCAAACCGGTAGCACCGTCTACCAACGGGATGTCCAGGACAACGAGACCCAGCCAGATACCCAAACTGAACAGATTCTAGATCCAACCGCCCCTCAACTATCCAACTATCCCACCGTCGACACCTTAACTCCTGCCACCTCCTCCGAAGATATATTCTATAGCCCTATCGGTGTGTCCTTATTGCACGTTGTATAATCCATTAACTATTATTGTTGTTCATTGGTAAAAGTACGATTGATTGAATCTACAACTTTCCTATGTGGAAAGCCCTTATGGTATATAACATTTATTTTTACTGCACTTTTAACAAGAATTTTATAGTTGAAAAATTAAAGTTCGATTTTCAATCTTCAACTTTCCAGCTATTAAAATCTTGTATAGCTGCAGCTAAAATAAGTTTTAATTTCAAACGTTTCACCTATTAAATTTAAGTGGTGACTCCAGTAAGAATAAGTTTAATACGTTTAACTATCCACCAATTAAATTCCTTTGATAAGTGAAATAAAAATAAGTTTTATACCAGTTGCGCTTGGGGTGCCAGCCAAATAAATAATAATAATAGTTTCAACTAATTCTGACTAGACTAACACCTCCAAGCTTTTAATTTCACCTTTATTTTAACGAATTTATGTATCCCATTTAGGTTCACCCACTTGCTTCAATACTAGCCTAGGAACCCAGGCTCTTCTCAAGAGGGCCAGCATCCAATCCGTCCTGGGCAAGTAATTAAATTGCGTTGCACGTTTTCAAACTGTCTAATATCACTTTGTTTTCCAGCCCACTCCACCCCCACGTCAGTGCTGAAAGATCCACCCACTGAAATGGTGAATGCCTCAATTTCACAAACACCTGAACCGGAGCCACTACAACCTCAGAAAGAAGTCCATACGCCAAATCCGCAGCAGCAGCAGCAACAGCAGCAGCAGCAGCCGCAGCAACAGCAACAGCAGCAACAGCGTCAGCGCAATCATTCCCACCAACGTTATCGTGGACGTAATCGGCGCTAGAACCTGGATTTATCCATGTCATATCGTTCGATTTTCCTCCTAGCTAGCCAGCTTTTTTCCTATTTTTTTACATTCCCATATTGTTAGTGAATACTGCGAGTAAATCTCTGAACTTAACCGGAAGTCTGTACTTGAGCTTAGGATACATATCACATTGAATCACCGACTGGCTCCAGTTTGAAGCGAATATCACCAAAGGGGGCCAGGATAATTGTGCTCTCATATTGCAGCGGAGTTTCGGGCAGCCAGCTGATCTTGTAGTTCCTGAGAAGTCGCACTAGAAGCGTTTCAATTTCCAGCTCCGCGATCCTCTTGCCAATACAGGTGCGAGGTCCAAAACCAAAAGGTAGGTATACAAAGGGGTTACGCGATCGGGCCTCTGGACATGCCTGGATATCTGGAGCTAAATCGGACTTAAGCCAACGTTCTGGTGTGAAATCAGAACTCTTGGCAAAGTAATCATCACTATTAGATAGCTCCAAGACGCCCATCAGGACTCCAGTGCCACGAGGCACTTGATAACCCGACAGCACTAAATCCTTGGTGGTAATTCTGAAGTTTCCAGGGGTAATAGAAGTGATGCGCAGGCCCTCCTTAATGCAGGCTCGCAAATAGGGCATGTTTTTGGTACTCTCATCCGTCAAGGAGCCCTTGGATTCGGGCAATATACGAATCAGTTCCCGACGCAGTTTATCTTGTTTGGAGGGATTGCGAGCCAAGTGATAGAGGATCGTAAGACAAGCAGAAGAGGTCTGAAAAACAAATTTAAGTATAAGTAATTCCTTGAAATCGTAACCCCATACCGTATCGATTCCAGCCATTAGCATGTCCATAACCATAGCCACAGCCACTTGTTTATTCAGTCCCAACAGCTGCTCCAAAACGCACTTGGTCTTGCGATCTTCATTACTCTTAAAGCTTTTCATGGCTGTCTCTATATAATTCGTGGTTATCTCGGCTATATCGTCATAGGTTTTGAGGAAGTTCTTAAAGCCAGGGGTTTTGTAAAAAGGCCAAATTGAGGGCTGCACATCGTACTTAAAGCTGTAGTTGAAGAAGTCACCCATGTGTTTGGCCAGACGATCAGCATTGGGATCTGGCTGATCACTTAGTAATCCCATGCGCGTATTTAGAGCCACAAAGCTAATGGACTCGAAGGCCCACATCTTAAGCTCATTATGAAAGTCAGCGAGCAGAGTGTGGTTTTCTGGATTCCTTTGAGTTTCCAATCTAAAAATATATGAGCTATATTATTTAGATCAATAAGGTCAGAGATAGCTTTTACTTGTCTATAAACTCCTTTGCTATTAGGTCGAGCTGCGGTAGATTCTGTCGGACATTCTGCACTTTCATGAGAACTGGATTTACCTTGTTGCGAAAGTCAGCCCAGGCCTGGCCCTGACTTAAAATATTTTTTATTTATAGTGTTAAAGAGTAAACTTTCAACTGCTCACTCAGAGACCAGGCCACCAACGCCATTAAAAATATCAGGTCGATGAACCTTGCGATAGTAATTAAAGCTCTCCAATCCTATGCGAATGGGCCAAATTCCCTCATTGCGGTAGGTCACCTCAAAGTCTTCTGGGTTATAGGTGAAGACTACGTTAGGTTTGCCCATCATTCCGGGTATACAGTATATATCCCCATACATCTCTCTCATGCGGCGGTTCATCTGAATCAAATTTGTGTTGCGAAGGGCTCCTATAAATTCAAAATACATATTATAGAAAATATCTTACTGATTATGATGTAAGTTTACCTCCTGGCATAAAATAAGATATCATGCGCAAGGAACTCGGTCCTGGCATTTCTCCATAGGTTTTGGCCTGCTGCCATTTCTCATCTATGCGAGATGTCCCCACAATTTCCAACTGGGCCTAAACAATAGAATATATTGGATTTGTTTGTAAACAATGATTCGCTCTTCAAAAGCTTTTGCTCTTTCTATCTTATTTATTACCTGCTGATTGAGTTTTCCACACACTGATAAATTCCTAGCAACACACAGCTGACTGCCTGGACTTTGCAGTTTAATGATTTTCGTAGAATGTTTCCACATATTTACTAGTATGGAAATATAGTAACTTGTTTAAATCAGTATATATTACTTTTATACTATAATAGCTTTTGTAATTAGAGACAAATAAAAATTAACCGAAGCTTGACAGGCGACAACCTGTAGCGAGAAAGTGCCAAGTGATACTGAATTGGGAGAACAATTTATAGCACAATTTAGATTGAGCTTTTTCTCTTGAAATAGGGGGCAAATAGGTTAGCTTTTTACACCCCCTTAAACCCCCTTTTAAAATTATTATTTTTTGTTGAAAATAATGTTTAAAATTTCTCTTTAGAATTGTTCAAGCTTTAAGATTTTTTAGCACTGAGTTTAATTTTGATTCCCTAAAAAAATTAGATCATGTATTTTACTTGTTACTTACAGAGGTTTGTGTCCAAAACTGCAAAAAGCTTTTTAACCAAAGCTTATAAAGAAAGTCTAAAATGCCATCCATAATATCATATAATAGCATTAAATAGTTATTAACAAAAGGCCAAAACAATACACACTTTAAATTTTTCGAATTACATTTATTTATTGCATGCGTAAAATTTTTCATAGCATAAAATGTTAATTCTTGTTGGTTTTCTTACAATTTGTTGAATTTCTATTCGATTTTCCGTCGTTATTAGTAGATTTATTTTTTCATAATTTTTTGAATACTTTTCGTATGTACATTGAAAGTTTGAATAAGTTGCAAGAGTTGAGTTATCGTTAGAGTTTAAGTTAAAGTTAAAGAAATAGAGAGTTGATTTTTAAGGTACATTATAGTTGTTGAGTTTTGCACGTTCAATTTAAGTAGACAATACATCAATAATATCAATATATTAATATCAATGGAGGATCTAGAGTTGAGTTAAACTTTTGATATGTATTTTGTATGCAATTGGCGTAGTTCAAGTTCAAGGACAAAATGTGACTACAAATTGCTCTTTGAGTATATTAATATATAATTTCGCATTACTTTAATATATTTTAAAACGGAAATTGGTTCCATTTTGTTTTTAGTTTCCTGGATTTCGGTTAATGTACTTTTCGCTTCTGTATAAAAATATAAACAAATTAGAAATGTTCGTTGTCTTTGCTACTATATTGGTTTTTGGTTGGTTTACAGAATTTAAATCGAATTAGTGATTGACAAAATATAAGGAGAATCAAATATTCTGCGGAGGACCTTCAGTCTTGCTTTGAATTTATATTGCTTGGTTAGTTTCATTCCTTTCGTGGTTCCTTTGTCGTTAAAAGATCAGCGTAGGATGTATATAAGGAGATACACTGTAAAACAAGGTTGATACATTTCCATAGTCTATTTTCTGTTTAGTATTGATTAAGCGCTAGTCGAGCTCTGTGCTGAAGATCCCTAAGAACTGGTACTCGAACCAAAGAGGGAGGTATATATCCTTGTGTACATATATACGTGTATATGTTGGCGTAAACCGAAATTGGATGGATCGTCACGAAAAGTGTTAGCCTAAGTTGAGTTTTTCACATTAAGTTTGATATGTATACGAAATGTTTAAACGTTAGCCAAACAGCTGATAAGTGTATATATATTATGTGTATCTATAGGTAGAGTTGACGTAATTGATATGGTTTTCTCTCTTTAGGAATATAAAATAATCTGGCTTAAAAATGCATTAAAAAACTATCTTTGATAAACTTATCACCTAAGTGGGTGCAGTATAATTATCTAAACAGACATAACTATTCTTTTGGTTTAGGCAGTGCGATATTAACCTAGGATACTACAATATTCAACTATAAGTTTGTCTATGACGGTTCCATGACACATCGCGCACTACAAACTAGGTCAAAATCAAAGTCATTTACAACAAATTTGATGCTCGACTTATGGTCTACGATACGTTTGTATATAATATATAGATATGCTTGTATATATATTTCTTGTATATTTGCCGACGATTGCAGCTGATATGTTTCGATTTCATGGTTGGTTTAGCTTTCGATATGTAACATAACGTACGAATTGCATTAGTTCAATCATATTCAGTATTCAAGTTGCTTGAGGACCTCGAGTACCCCTGATATGCTGTGTATATACTATTCTATACTATGCTAAATGTGATATGTTTAGTTTTGTTCATGTTTCTGTACGCACACATTTAATTCAGCCGACTGTTAGTCTAAATACATTTTTAATTGCCCCTTCATTCCCCTTATGCTCTCTCTCTCTCTCCCTCTCCCTCCCTCTCTTTCAATCTCCATATAGCCACGACCATCCATCGCAATCATTTTCAATTTGTCCTATGCTTACTTGCTATAAAATCACATTTAGTTGCTTAATTAATTTTTATGCTGTCAAACACTCGAATTCACTCACACACAAAAAGAGAGAGAGAGAATAAACATGTAGAAATCGTGTAACCTTCGAACATCATGTAGATATTGCTTTTCATTTCGCTATATATATACGATATATATGCGATATATATACGATATGTATGCCTCATTCTTGCACACACATTTTCATGGCCCGCTGCACACCAAAATGCGTGCAGTTTATTTTACTATATATCTTTTTTTTTGCTCCTTGTTCTTCCCCTTGTTCTTTGCTGGTGTAAAGGCAAATTTGCATGTGGCGGTGGTGATGGTAAGTGGGCGGCTGGGCTGGGCTGTGCAAATAGGAATGCAATTTTTCAATACGCGCACATAATTGAACTGTCAGAGCTGCTCGACTCGGCCAGGCAGAAATACTGCGAACCGCCCTTCGCAAAAATATGCAACGGAAAATGGCAACGGAATGTCCGGGATAACTTTGTGTCGCTTTTTGCTCTTGCTTTTCGCAATGGATGGCTCCTTGTAATTAAATTGCCTGCACAGCGGACCAAACGATTGACCGAACGGCAGATTTATTGGCAACCAGCCCAGCGAAGTAGTTTCTATTTGCCGTCCTAGTTTATTCCTCCGGCCAGCCCAGATCCTCACCCACCAGCTCGTAAAAGCGTTGATTGTACTCGGCGAAGAACTTTCGCAATCTGGAGACCACCACGGGATCCACATGCGGATGTTTCCTTCCCTTCGTCTCCCGCAGGCAGCGATCACCGTTGTCGTAGCGCAGGCAGTAGAAACCCTTGGTCTCGTTGAAGTAGAAGTGCTCGCTGTTTACCCGATGCTCGATGCCTGAAATTAAAAAATAATATTTGATTAATTCTTGGTAATATTTAAAATATGCCAAACAGCGCACCCTTCTTAAAAAAGGATTAATCTTACAGGAAAAAGCATTATGAACCCAACTCTCACTGCTTAAAGTGAAAGAGTTTGTTGTGCAATAAATGTATTCAAAAGCCAAAATGTGTTTTAGGCGTTGCCATTGCAAAAATGTAGTAAAAATTACTCATACGACACGTGATGTCAGGTAGAATTGTTAATCAACGGCAACTGTGCGTATGAGTGATAAATTTGGAATCCAATGCGCAGAGCCTAAAAGGGATTTTAAAAAAATCTTTCTGATATGTGCTAAATGCAACAAAGCGCATGAGTGTTAGTGAACCGTTCACCGTATCGTTGGCCATGTTTGTTTTTAGGGCGATTTTGGAGTTACAATTGGTTACTTGTAATAAAAGAAGATTTTGCACTAAATATAGATGAGCGACTTTTTAAAATTCTTAAACAGTAATATTCACGAGTATGCAAAGAGTATAAAATGAAATAAAAAGTAATGTTGAAATTCCAATTGCAAAAACGAGTGCCAGCACTGAAATCAAACCACCCCTTAAATCTTGCATACCACCTGCGAAGTTAACTCACCCAAGAAAGCCTCGATGCGTTTCAGCTGAGAAACCGGATCCTCGATGAGGCGGTCCCCATTGACGACCAGCAGTTGCTCCCGCGGAAAGACCTCCAGCCAGCGGTGCAGGTGGACATGGTACATGGAGATGCTGAGCGGTCGATAAGCCTCGTTAACGGTGCCATTGGGAAATATGGCCAGCTCCTCAAAGGACCTGCGAACGGGTGAGCGAGATGAGGGTTTTAAATCTTCCTTTCGACAAGGACGGCAAATTGAATTGCCAACAGCTGCAAATGAGCAGCTGCCCCGCCACTCCCCACATCCCGACCATGTTAAACAGAGTCCTTGGCTCCCTGGCTCCTTCACTCCGCCACTCCGCCACTCCACTCCCTTTGTCAACAAGTGAGGCCGCAACAAGAAAGTTTTCCCCATCAGCGGGACAGGGACAGAGTGCGAGAGCCAAGGACAAGAGTCGCATTTTGGGCAACTTTCATTTGCAGTTTGCATTTCATTTGCATGTCAAGCAGGAGCCAAAGGGGCGAGGGTGTGGGGCACTTCACTTACTTGGCTGCCATTTGGGCGGCGCTTGCCATTGGCGACAGTGTTGTCGTGGTCATTGCAGCTCCACCACCACCACCACCACCCGCCGTCTGCCTCCTGGCCGAAGAAGGAGATCCTTTGGTTTCCTTGGCGCCCGCCCCACTACCGCCCACCAAGGCATTGTCATAGCCACGGGCCGACTGCAGTTTGGCATACAGCAGCGATTGTGACGGCATCTTGGCAGCTGCGGTCTCGCTGACTCCTCCCGGTCCGCCTGCTCCTCCCCCGGAACTCTCCCTGCCACTCGGAGGGTCCTTCTCGGCCAGCGGCAGGATGGCGGTGGCCGCATGGCTACGCAACTGCGTGTAATCCGAAATGGCCCGGGTCACTGGCTCCCGCACAATCAGCAGCAGCTTGATGCTCGCGTTCATGGCCCGCACTCGTTCCGGTACCTACAAACATTTAAATTCATGACTCAAACTTTCTGAGTGTGCATAATCCTTAAAGCTCAAAAATATATAAGTAATTTGGTATATCAATAATTATAAAAGTTAATAATTTTCGAAAAAAATAAGTAACTACATTTTCTCCAGGATAAAAGGGCCAGACCAAAAAATATTATTTGTATTATTTTTATAATCTTATAGATATAGAAAGCATTATATTATTAATCAGCATTATCAGGAGAATAAACCAATCCATGTCTTTTTGTACGTCTGCTGTTTTTAAGTAAGCTAGTCTATCATTATCTGATAGATCTGTATAAAACATTTCCAAAAGTCTTCTTTCTATTGCCATATTGAAAGACTATGTCATATAGCTCCCATAGGAACAACCAGACGACTATATCATATAGCTCCCATAGGAACGATCGATTCTTAAATGAATTCCAAGTAACTATTTTCAAGTTATGCTTTATAAAATAGATATTTAAAGTTCAGTTTAATAAAATGGTCTTTTATATCACGCTTTTTGCAAAAATAATATAAAATAACAAAAATCATTTCCGTTTTCCCCCAAACTAATAGGTTTTTCAACTTGATTGTATGCAAATAATAAAACAGCAATCTGTTTTTTCATCGAAAACCTAACAATGGCCAAAATGGCATGTACTAAAAAGAGCTTGAAAAAGGATTTAATTACTTCCGCAGCTTTAATAACAACATTGGCTTAAAATATCTTTATTCCATAGATAAAGAAATTAAAATAACTTTATTTCATAGGTAAATAAGTTTAATTTTCTTTTGCAAATGGAAATTGCGGTTTTTCTTGCAACCTTTGTTCAATGTTTTCTCAAGGTGGAACTCGTGTAAACACAGTGTACGATGCTGTGCCACCGCCTTTCCAATTAATGAATTTATGTCGGGGCCAACAATCGATAATAATTGCAAACTGTGGGTGCTACATTTTAAGGGAAGCTTGAGCGCCCCTTTTGTTGCCTTTAATTTGCTAGTGCCTTGTAAAGCAGCCACGCCCCCTGCCCGCCTGTCCGCCCCCCTGCTGCTGCACTTCCGCAGCAAGTGTGCTGTGAACAATTTAATTAAGCCGGAAAATATTGCCGTACAATGTCGACCGAGGCAGGACTCGGCTCCGCCGGGGTCCTTGAATTTGCCACGTTGTATAAATAGCCTCGCAAATGGGCGAAACGAGCCGAGTAAATAAACTTAATCAATTTCAATAAGAGCCACCAGGCCGTGCAACAAGTTCAAAAACTTTTTTTGTCTCATGATTTTATTCCTTTATTCCCCCGTGTACTCAAGCGTTTCAGAATTATTCACGTTGATGAACCATTTACAGTTTGAGCTTACCCACGGGAATATGCATTTCGCTTATTTCGTTGAATCTTTAATGCGGCCAAAATGCATTTGGAGCATCATGACATATCAAAGTTCCGGGACTCTGGAGAGCCGAATGAGGGCTTTAGTTTGAGGCCAAAGTACGCCGTAGGGGGATGCATTATTTATGGTGCTTCACAGGATTATTTGACATTTCCCGCTGAGTGAGATCCGCTTGGGTGGCATTAGTTGTGGCCCCACAACCCCATCCCTTCCCCCTCTTGCATCTCAATAAATATTAATAACAACATTAATGAAGATTTATCTACATCAGAGCTGGAGCTTCCTCTCCCGGCATTTGACTCCATTCCGCCCTCAAAGTGGCAGACAAATTGAAACGCTGCATCAACTGCAAGTGAGCGACGAACAAGGCAGTTAAAATTGAAATGAAACTGGATAAAATATTGCCCTGTCAGCCCGGTCAGGATGCTAACCAAGTTTGTCCCGCCCACTCTCGCCCACTCGTTCCACTTTTCCCGTGTGACACATACAACTTCCGGCTCGCAGCGAAATTGCATCAGGCCAAAAACCCAATTTTGTGACACTCTGCGGGCAACAAAAACAACACGACCGGAAAAGAAACAATAATAAAACCTGGCCCTAAAAGTGATTCAGCTTGGGTGTTAGACGTTGCCGTTTGGCAAATGAATTTGCAAACATTTCCGCTCCGGCTCCGACATGGTCACGGAAATTGGCTAGGACATGGCCAGCGTTTCACTTTAATTTGATGGATGCACAGCAATTGGTAGTCCATGCCGGCAGACAGTTAATTAATAATTACGACCAGGCCGAGAGAAAGCCAATCCTAATTGCCAATTAGAGATCAAAGCGGGCACAAAACAAACCCAGAAAGGGTCAGACACACTCACCTCTGGCGACACAAAGTAGCTGGGACTCTTCTCGATGGTTATTTGGCCCCGGAACGAGTGCGGCATCTTCTTGCGATACCACTCCAGGCCCTTCAGGTAGTTCTCGTCCCGATCGAAGAAGTGCACCTCGCCGCCGGCCTTCTGGATCCGTGGATGGAGGTAGAGCATCTCCAGCAGCGCCCGCGTTCCACACTTTCGCACGCCGATGATGAGTGCCTGGGTCCGGAAATCAAGCCAAAAGAACGTGAGCATGCAAATGGTAGCAATTAGTCGGGGCCTAGACTACTGCCTGGTACACAACACCCAAACTACACAGATTCACTTAAAACATTGGAACTTTTAAGCATTGGAACTACTTATCACAAAGTACTTCCGCTATTACTTTTTTTCGTACTTATTTACAAATACTTGCTGTAACTTGCTTAAGGTCAAAACAGTTTTTCTTTATTAAGGTAATAATACCATCAAAAAGATATTCCATTACTTAAGTATCAACAGCCAATCATATATTATTAAAAAATCCCATTTCTAAATGTCAAGCTAAGTTTTTAAATTAAGTATTATTATTGTTTGGAAAACATATATTTTTTTAATAATGACTGAAAGCAATTCCCTAAAGGTAATGTTCTTTTTAAAATTTGTCAAGAAGTTCAAAAAATTAGTTTAGATAGTTTCTCTTAAACATTACAAACTATAACCCTAAAATTGGGCTTAAAGGAACAACTCAACAAATTAATGAATGACAGTTACACATATCTATAAATGAATTCGATCTTTTTGGTAAAAATAGAACCATTAATCTGTAGATACTTAAAATGGCTTTAATAATTCATCTTCAATCTGGAAACCATTTTATAATTTAAAATCCAAGAACTTACCTGTGGCAGCCGGCGACTGGTTTTGGGAAAGTGCACACGACTGGAGGGAAAGACCATGGGATGGCTTAGCTGATTGGAACTGGGTACGGGCTTAACGAAAGCAGGCAGATGATTGGAGTTCGAGGCGCCGGAGGAGGAGGAGGATCCGGAACTGGACGACGAGGAGGAGGCCAAAGCCGATGCAGAGGCGGCCAATGAGAGGCGATGCCTTTCGTGGACCGCCTGGGCCGCTTGGATATTGTACACGGCACTATCGTAGAGGACATGGAAGGTGAGGAACAGCGAGATCAACATGACCGTAAGGAAGACGACGGCCAATTTTGGACGGGACACGCCCACCACCAGGATGCAGTCGGTGGGCGAGGCATCGGGACCAGCCGGTCGCATCGCCGATTTCGGTAGCCATCTACAAAAACCAAAGAAGAGAAGAGCAAAAGGCATCGATTAGATTTTGGTTTTCGTTGTTCTCGATTCCCGCTTCCGCTTCAGCTAATTAGAGTGCCATTCCGACCGTGCTGAGTAATTAACGATGGCGGTTCTACCTGCTCCTCCCACTCCTCCATTCCCCACTTCACCTCCTTTTTCCCCGGCTGCCTTTAGCTAAATTAGCAAGACGACACTCTGGGCCACCGTTCTCTATTTTCAGCCACCAACTGCTCGTCCACGTCCGGCGGGGCCTAAGCGAATTCCATTATAAACGTTTCCGCTTAGACCGCAACAAACACTGGCAGCATTATTATGAGCACTACATTGCAGCGCACTAGGCGTATACGTAACGTGGCCTAATGGATGACTTCATTTGCAGCATGCCACAGCTGGGCGGTAAAAAGTGGGGGGCGTGTGCAAGGGGCTGGGCGATGGCGGTGGCATTAGCAGGTGACAGAAGGAGCTGCTGCCAGTCTGCGGCTAAGTGCATTTTCATATACATGGAGTGGGGGGGGGATGGTGCAAAGGATAGCAGAGTAGGGCAGGACATGGCACTGGAAATGTGTGGCAACTGGTGGCTTACTCCCTCCTCCCCCCTCAAAACCCCCTTTTGAAGTTTCCTCCGCGAGCTTCGCATGCGACACCTCGTTAAAAGTAACGACACACTGGGCTGCAGGCCCGCAAGGAGTCGAGGCACTTCACTCGACGGCGCCGTTTGTGGCGCACGGTGCAACCTCAGAGCAAGACCGACCGACTTCCTGCCACTTCCCATTCCCCCGTTCCCAGCCTGCCTCCCCCCCCAAATCCTCTCCACACCCCCTTCCTTTTCTGCTAGTTGTCGACACGCTTTAAGTTCTTTTTATATTCCCAGCTGTTGTTTTTTTTTCCTTACCCCGTTTTAAGCCCGCAGCTGCAGTAACGACACTGAAAATAAATATTTACAGCCTCGATCTTACATTAATCGATTAACTTTCGAATGAAACTAAACTAAAACAATTAGCACCATTAATAAAGTTGATAAGAATGTGTAATCCTGTATTAATTTTGTTAACTTCAACACAATATAGTTTCTACTAATTCTACTAAGTACGCGACTCGGTAATGTCCATTACCGCGTAAATAAGTTTATAAATAAAAGTAGGCTAAGCATCGTTCTACTGTTATTTAGAGATGATACTTTAATTAGATGAAGTCTATTAAAGTAAGATGGTAATAGTATATTTACATCCCCGTTAAGACCCCGTAGAGCAAATAGTCGATCCGGTCTATATATGTACACCTCATTAAGAACTCCAAATTGTTGAACAGTACTCTTTGGTCTAAAGAAAAGGATTAAGGTTTCTTGACGCAGGGTTCATCGTATTTTATCAAACTTTTTTTTTAATTTGAAGCTCTATCCTGGCTTTATTAACCATGGAAGTAAAATGGCCAGAAGGATAACCAGCGAACTGTGAGTTGACTTAAAAATATTTCAATATTTTGCGTTAAAAGCCATTTAAATTTAAAGATTCAAAAATTATTTTAAACTAAGGCTGTTTGTGAGTCTAATTGCCTAATAAAAAGTTTTATCCAAATTTTTAGTCATCCAAATCAATGTTCCTAATTTATTTTCCGGAGTGCAACAGCCGGGCTGCGACTGGCCTCGTTTCTTGCCCCACAAGGCGGCCTGCCACTTGACTGCGATCTGCATAAACGCAGCACCCCCTCCTCGTTCCCCTCCTTTTTACTACACTGCTGATGTCACACACTTTCTAGGTTGGCTGGCAGCCTTTAAGCCAAATCCCCGCCGAGCGCAAAGCTTTAAAGACAGGCTCAGTCGCTCTAATCCTGACAAAACTGGAATAAGTTTCTTTTGCCAGCGCTAAGCATTCAGAAAGGCTACATTTGTTTCCGCCTCTTAGTCGCTCCTTTTATCCCCTCCCCTTTAGTCCTCGCCTGGGTAAATATTTATAATTTTCTGATTCATTTTGCTGGGCTGCTTTTCTGTGCAGTGGGTGGGAAAATCGAATCGAGCAAATGTTGTCCCGTTAAAGTTAATGCAATTTTCATTCGCGTTGTTAAAATGTAAATTTTATTAAGCCAGCCAGACGTGCGGCTATCTCCATCCCAGATTCCCAGGGGAGATTGAGTGGCTTGACCTTTTTTGGGGCTGACTGGTGGCCTTCTTATCGGCTACGTGCAAAAGGGAAAACCCACTCGAACACTGGAGCCCAAAATGATTTGTTGGCCGTACTCACAGGATATCCAGCGGCAATTTGACGGAGCAATCGCGCAATGTCGCCTGATGTTGCTGCTGTCTCTGGTGGTATTGCTGTGTGTTGTTGCTGTTGCCGCTGTTGCTGTTGCTGCTGTTGCTGTTGCTATTGCTGTTGCTGTTGGTGCTGTAGTGTTGGTGGTAGTGATGGTGCGGGTGTTGCAGCAACTGTTGGTACTCGTGTGGCTGGGCCTGCTGATGTTGCTGCTGCTGACTATGCTGTTGCTGCTGCTGCTGCTGCAGATGTTGCTGCAGGGAGTGCTGCTCGTGGCCATTACTGCTGCTGCTGCTGCTGCTGTTGCTGCTGCCCGCACGTCTTTTGGCGGCAGTCATCAGAGAGGCAGGCGTACGCGTTCAATGGAGCCGAAACGATTGCCGCTCTCGGCTGTTGCAGCAGCTAATTGGCCAGTAGACGTGGGCCAGCTCGATTGCAGCAACGTGCAGCATGGGTGGTGGATGGTGGGTGGTGGGTGGTGAGGTGGTTAGATTTATGGGCCACCCCCGCCACGCCCGCCTTTGGGGCACTGCTCTTTTGTTTCGACCCTCGCCGGACTCCGGTTCGTGTTTTTTGCACTTTAATTAAATTCCAGGCAATCGCTAGGTTGGGATTCCTTCAGCTCTATCCGTTCGAGGTCACTATTCACAAAGTTGGAAAGGTAACCAGTGACTGGACGACATATTGCGCCTCATTTCCGCCCGGGCAAACAAAACGGAAGTTTCCTAACATCATCATCATCAGCGGCACCAGGGCCTGACCTTATTGTTGTTCTGTAATTAGATTTGTTGCTGCTGCTATTGCTGTTGCTGCTGTTGCTATTGTTGCTGTTGTTGCTGTTGTTGCTGTTGCTGCTGCTGCTGCTGTTGCTGATATAGCTGCTGCTGATGTGGTCCCTATTCTGGGATTAAAGCTGTAATGGCCTCGCCCGATTTGACTTTGGCTGCTGCTGATGTTGCCCAGCGCCATTGTTTATTGTTTGTCGAAAACGCTTCCAACCTCTGAAAAGATAAACAAGACAAAGAAATTGGTCAGAGAAGTCAAGGCGAAAGTAGGTTTGGCAAATAATTTCGATATATACGATATACCGAATTGATATTTAATTAATATATTTTCTGTTCGGCTTATATATTTTTCTTTTCCAAAGGCGTAGCCAAAATAAGCAAATAGTATAAAATAAAATTCTAAAATCCATGGGTTCTTGATTTCTGATAATTCCATTAACGAAAAACGTGCTCTAGTTTTGATAATTTAGGCTGCGACCTTGATTCCTACTGTATTAAATTTCATTTCTGATTAGCCACCATTCGTTTGTATGACTAGAAACCTTTGCAGCAAACCCACGACTGTATCAGTGCAATGCCCTCAGGAGAATTAGAATATCCAAATTAGAAATTCAAAAGCAGTGCGTTTCGTGTCCAGTGAATTGAGCTGCAGAAATAGCTTAGTGTATGCAAAAGCATAGCTAATCAGGTGTCATTTCCCCAGTGGAGAATCGAGATTTGGGGCAGCCAGTGGTTGAAATAGGAATACATTGGTGTAAGAGCACTTGTATATAAAGAGGCGAATGGCAAAAGTGTGCCTCAGTAGTAATCCACGGATGAAGACACGGAAACGCCATGAACTCGTCGCTAGTGGATGTATTTTTGTTCCTTGTATCGGAATATCTCATAAATATTTGGAATTCAACAGATTTCGTGCATTTGCCCATGCTTGGCACAGCTTTACCATAGATTATGATTGTTTTGGGTTATTTGTTGCCTGTTTTACAAGTGGGTCCTGATTTTATGAAGGTTCAATGTGTTGGTCTAAAATCTCTGTAAGGTTTTGATGAATTCCGTGTAATTTGATTTGGTAAACGCGTTTTTAAGAGGTTAGTTTTGTTTTATAAGGAATTATTCTCAGAGGGAAGTAATTAACTCATTTGTGGACATAGTCATGTACACCTACTTCTTTGCGGTTGCTTGGCATCCACATGTCAAAAGCAAGTTTTGGTGGAAGCGGTATATTACCAAGCTTAATTTCCTTCAGTTCGTCATACTCTTCGGAAAAACCACACTGATAATGTGGCTAAATCTCTGCTGCTCCTTTCCCATAATCCTGCAACTCTCCACATCCTTGATGGTCATACTCCGCAACTTCAACTATCAATAATATGTCAATGGTAAGAGCACACAGCAATGAGCAATAAATTGTAGTTCTCTTTCTGGAGTTTAATCGGTCTCAGTTGAGTGGGATTAGAGTGAGCGGTTTGTGTTAGGTCTCTCATTTGGAAATGTGTGACGGACACTGCAGTTCAAATACATGAATAAAACATTATTTGATTTGGTTTGTCCAATTCCGATAAAACGGACTGGAATGTCTTAACACAACTGAAACAGTAACTAGTGGTCCCTCAATCTACAATCACCCATTAACGATGCTCCGATTTTTGCGCATTCCTCAGGCAGGTGGGTTCGGCAATTAATTATTTTAATACAGATAAAATATATAATGCAATCTCTTCCAATAAATCCCCAGATCCGAACCCCATTCCGCTGGCTGGATCACCATGGCCTATTCTACTGATTTTGGCAGCCTATTTGCTTTTTGTCTTTAAATTGGGCAAGATCTTTATGAAGAATCGGAAACCTTATGATTTGAAAATAGTTTTGAAGGTCTACAACATATTTCAGGTGCTTTACAATGGCATCTACTTTGGAACGGTGAGCTTGAACATTTACTAAATTGGCGCATCGATTCATTTATGTGTCTTTTTTTTAAGGTCTTCTACTACTTATTCATAGCGCGTATCTGCAATTTGCAGTGCATGGAGAGTTTTCCCCAGGATCACGAACGCAAACAGATAGAAAGGGTATTGCATACCGCATATCTGGTCAACAAAGTGCTCGATCTTCTGGACACTGTGTTTTTTATCCTGCGAAAGAGCTTTAAACAGGTCACCTTCCTGCATATCTACCACCATGTGTTCATGTCCTTTGGAAGCTACGCTTTGACCCGATATTATGGCACTGGCGGGCACTTAAATTCCGTTGGATTACTAAACTCCCTGGTCCACACGGTGATGTATTTCTACTACTATTTGTCCTCAGAATACCCCCAAGTGAGGTCCAATATTTGGTGGAAGAAATACATAACATTAACCCAGCTCTCCCAGTTCCTGCTGCTCTTCTCCTACTCCACATACGTGCGATTCTTCTCACCAAATTGTGGAGTTCCTCATGGTATTCTCCATTTAAACATGCTGCAAGGTGTTGTCTTCTTTTATCTGTTTGGAAAGTTCTATATACAGGCCTATCTGCGACCACCAAAGTCAAAACAATCGTAGCTAAATCTAAAGTTTACTTTTGTACCCCTTAAATATATATGCGCATACGATTAGTCCGCGTAACTCAACACTCGCTGTTCGCCCTAAAAAGAAGTCTTAGGTATATGTTAACTAAATTTGATAATAAAATGATATTGTCTGAAACTCGCACTGTCTATCATTGGGACATGATAATATTTAAAAAACATAGCAAATAAGAATACTTTTATGATGGCTAAAAACGCTTATTATTCAAATCTAGTATCAGCTTAAATAACATTCCACTATATTGGACTTATGGTATACCTCTAAGTTAAACCAAAATGAAAACAAAAGTACTAGATTGTTATAGGAAAAAAACCCAATTAAGCATTTCATAATAGCGGCGAGTCTATTACACAAACAAATAATACATATTCAGCTGTTAATGATATTTTCAATTGAATGGCTCAAGGTTTTCATATCGTTTAAAAGCTAGTGGAACATTTTCGAAAGCTCTTCTGTAATTTTTTCAATAAGAATTAAAGTCAAAGAGAATGAGGAAAATGTAAAATAAAGAGAAATTGTAAGTCTTAAGTATTATGACCGTTTACGAGCACCGAATTGTAGCTTTAAGCTTTCTCCATATGGATAAGTGTGGGTAATCGTATAGATTTTGTAAGTGTACAATTAGTTACTAATATGCCATTAAGTGGAAAGCAGCTGCCAAGGAAACACCTTATTTAAGAGTCAATGGTGAAAAATATATTTCATATTATGCTAATAAGCTTGGCGTATTAAGAAGTATTATCCAAAGTTAACCTAATACCTTAATGACAAGACGGTCTTTAAATAATTGGATCTTTATTCTATGTTCACGAAGGACAAAGATGGGAATGGATAACCGGTGACGGGATCGCAAAGCTGGGCCATTTAAGCATCGACAGAGTGGAAACTGCACGCCGGAAAAACAACTCCGGGCAATCAACTTCTGCCCCGCCACCCACCGCACTCTATCCATAGGTTTTTCTCCTTTTCTGCTGTTTTTGCTCGTTTGTTAGCACGTTGGAAAAGCTTCGCTTGATAAGCATAAGAAATAGAGGCAACCAAAGGAAACTAACAAGTGCGTGCGACTGAGTGTGTGTTTCCCAACGAGCGACTGCACATAACAAGCTTCTATCCTATCCCATTTGTGCTGCTCCTTGCTTTCCCAGCTGATAGGACAAACCGGAGGCGCCATAACCGTAGCTGAAGTCTGCTACACTAGTCTAGTCAAACTTAAGCCGGAAATTCACTGTAAGTACAGAGAAAAAAACTTCGGAAGTAAAGACTGTGCTCTAAGGGTCGAAAAACAATTGTTTCCGAAGTAACTTTCTTTATAAAGCGGTTTTTTTTTATTCTTGTCACCTATACTTAAAAGACTTAAGTAAAAACCTTTATAAAACTGAAGTCATTATAACAATTATCAGGGGTGCTTTGAAAACCCCTTTCAACCAAATTCGGTAGAAATCTAACCATACATCCATATCAATTCCCACCGAATTTAGTTAAAAGAGATTTCTTATTCTACTAGAAATAGTTTATGCATCTGAATAAAAACCGTTTTCGAACCATAAAAATCTAGCCAATGCAAAAGCCAAAAACACTTTCATATACGCAAAAAAGTTCCGTTTTTCAGCCAGCTTTTTTTTTACACTACTTTTATATTATTTGAAAGTTGTTTTCCCCAGTGTATATTGTTCATAGTACCATACAACATACAACTTGCTACAATCACATTTACTGCTGAAGAAAACGAAAACAATTGCTGCAAATATGGCAAATGGCAATTGAAAAACAAAAGTCCCTGGTGAAACGGGACCAGAAATCCGTTCGCCTGCTGCTTTCACACTTTCTTTCCACGCAGGACAAAGGTCCAAAAACGGCAACAGGGACATGAGTGGTGAAAAAAGCCAAGGATGCAGCGGGAAAAGGACGAAAAAAATGCACAAAATTGGCTGTGAAATGAACGAGACGAGGCGACGAAACGTCTTTTGTTGCCATTGAGGGAATGGAAAGGAAATGACTATGACGGCAGCAAAACTGAGGTCAACACTTTGCTTTGTGTGAGCGGCAAAGTCAAACGGAAATCTGCATAAGACCCTCCAGTTTCGATTGTCAGTCCTTGAGATGTTTCCACTCAATTTCCCATGGCCCATGGCCTGTGACAGCCCCTGAATATCGAACATCTGGGCTGGCAATTAAAAAGCATTCCAGAGCTCAGCATAAATTACTCAAATGCGAGTATGCAAATGCCATTTCTTCGATTAACAATGCAAACTTCAAGACCACTGAGCACACTACGCACAAAAGACACATATTACAGATATCAGAAATTATATGGCAAAAGGCAGGTGGGCATGGGCATGAGCATGGTCATGGGTCTTCCTTCTAGTGGCATACCGAGGGGACCTGACCTGGCTGCCTGGCAACTTTCCCATAATTTACACTTTATCGAACGATAACAAACAACCTGCATAATGTATGGCTCTCGGTTTGCTACATCGCTCCATGGAATGGCAGCTCACCTGGTTTTAAATGTGGGTGGTTGTATGGTTGGGTGGTATGATAGGGTGCTGCTCTGGCATTGACTGGCGTTTGAGGTCACCAAAGGGTGCTGCGTGAGATTCGTCCATCCCCTCCATCCCCCTTCTTGTATGCAAAATGCCCGTCAGTCAGAAATGCCACAACTGCAACTCGTTGCACCTTTAGGCCAAGCGGAGAGGACCTGTTAACCCATATTTGTTGGGCTGCTTGGGAGACAAAACCATTTACATTCGAAAACCATAAAAGATACGAGCGTCGACCTTCTCCGCTCGTTTGGGGAATATGGCATAATAAAATTTTAATTCGTTGCGATTGATGGTATCCTCACATCCCCGCATATATACACGCATCAATGGTTGATTTCCCTTAGCCGAGGGATACAGCCAATACATTACATTTTATAACCCCAGCTAATTTGCATATATGCAGGCATACGTACATCCATAGATATAAAGATATATATATATATGTACATATGTGTCTGCGTAACATTGATTGGATTTGTTTGACTTTCACACTGGGTGATGGCATCGCATCGAAGATGGGTGGATGGGAGGTGGTTTTTAGGGCTTTCTGGTGGTTTAGGGGGTGTTGCGAGGCTAAGTGCCTGACATTTGCTAAATGGCAAAGGGCCTGCCTGAATGCCTACCAAGGGTTTCACAGGCTTTTGCGGGTTATATTTTCCCCATTTGCCCAACCGAAAATTGCACTCGCCTCGTTAGTCGAAATGGCTGGGTAATTACAAGTGGTGGGAACTGCCCCTCCCACAACTCATCACTTACTTTGCGTATAACCTTCAAAGTTGAGCCTTTGCCTTTCCCCCAAGCAAAGAAAAAACTAGTGATGACTTTTGATATTAATTGTATCATATATATCTTGGGTTTATTGGTAGTAGTATTGAGTGGAAAGTAAAGATTTCATGATAACATTATGGCGTAACGCAATATGGATGGAATATTAAACCTCTAGTAAAAATCCAACGCTCTCTTCATTAGCTCGCAATTGAAAAAAGTAGTTATTTTCCTTTTTGCTTTGATTTATCCTCAATTTTAGAACATTATAGTTTTATCACATTGTGTCAGTGTTAAGTTCAAAATCCCCGCTCCCTCCAATAACCAACATTTAAACCTTCCAACCGCAGATCAATCAGTAGCCCTATTTGTACCGTTCGCCAACTGCAAATTAGCTGCAGTTCATTTGGCCTGTGTCAATTGTATGCTCATATAAATTCAGAAATATAAGTATGTTTGCGGATATATATTCAGTATGTAAATATGTGCTGTGCATTAAATAAACAAACTATCTGTAGGGAGTGTAATATAGAGTGGAATATAATTAAAAGCAGGGGAATTCCTGATTAAATGCCATAGATGTCAATAATGAAGCTGAAACCTTCGTTGCGTTGACTCTTCAAATGGATTTTGGCATAAGTGGCTTGCGGTCCACCGGCAGTTAAGTATGCATAGCCCCCATTTCCATCCCTAACTTGATCCGTAATCACTATCTGGGTGATGGTGCGCGGTAGTTTCTAAAGCAAAACATTGAAATTGTTAGAGAGAATAACTAAAAGCAAAGGGAAAACCAACTTTTTGATTGAACACATAATCCCTTGTGACCACACGCAGGAACTTGGACTTTTCCGTGATGATCTCCCGCCGTAAGTGCATGTCCCTGTAGGTTCTGACTCCCCAAGTCACACTGTGACTCCGGCCACGCCCCGCGGCCTCGGAAAGGGCGGACAGTGATATCAACAGCAATATTATGCAAATTTTCATTTTTGAAAATGAGTTAACTCTGGCTTAATTCAAAGCTTTTATAGGCTGACTCTGCGCCTTGAAAAGTCCCCTATTCTTTTCACACATCTGTTTTAGGATACCATTTCTTTAAACGAACAATGAGGTACTGCAAACAATACTCATTGTCACTCATAACTCCATTGAGTTGATTAATATTAAAATAATATGTATGACTCATAAATAGTGATATTATTGTCATTAAATGTTTTTTTAATTGAATTCATAAAATAAAAGGTGTATATATACAACAGTTACTGCTAATGCTTACGGTCACAAAACAAACACGCAATCAGAATTAACATAAAACACTGTGAATATATAAGCACAAGTAAAAACTAAAACAAGAAAGGAAAGCTAACTTCGGGCGGAGCCGAAGTTGAAATACCCTTGCAGAATATTCTGCAAATTATATTCTCCAAAATTATTCATATGATGCATTTTTAATACTCATAAAAAATCCCACCTTCCTAACTTTAAAAACACCAAAGTTATTTCATTTCCGATCAATCAGTTATATGGCAGCTATAGGATATAGTCGGCCGATCCTTATGAAATTTGATAGGTCGGATTGATTGGCCAAATATAAAACCCATAGAAAATTCCAACTTCCTAACTTTACAAACACCAAAGTTATGGCATTTCCGATCAATCAGTTATATGGCAGCTATAAGATATAGTCGGCCGATCCTTATGAAATTTGGTAGGTCGGATTGATTGGCCAAATATAAAACCCATAGAAAATTCCAACTTCCTAACTTTACAAACACCAAAGTTATGGCATTTCCGATCAATCAGTTATATAGCAGCTATAGGATATAGTCGGCCGATCCTTATGAAATTTGGTACGTCGCATTGATTGGCCAAATATAGAACCCACAGAAAGTCCCAACTTCCTAACTTAACAAACAGCAGAGTTATGGCATTTCCGATCAATCAGTTATATGGCAGCTATAGGATATAGTCGGCCGATCCTTATGAAATTTGATAGGTCGGATTGATTGGCCAAATATAAAACCCATAGAAAATTCCAACTTCCTAACTTTACAAACACCAAAGTTATGGCATTTCCGATCAATCAGTTATATGGCAGCTATAAGATATAGTCGGCCGATCCTTATGAAATTTGGTAGGTCGGATTGATTGGCCAAATATAAAACCCATAGAAAATTCCAACTTCCTAACTTTACAAACACCAAAGTTATGGCATTTCCGATCAATCAGTTATATAGCAGCTATAGGATATAGTCGGCCGATCCTTATGAAATTTGGTACGTCGGATTGATTGGCCAAATATAATACCCATAGAGAGTCCCAACTTCCTAACTTAACAAACAGCAGAGTTATGGCATTTCCGATCAATCAGTTATATGGCAGCTATAGGATATAGTCGGCCGATCCCGGCCGTTCCGACTTATATACTGCGTGCAAAGGAAAGAAGGGTGTGTGCAAAGTTTCAACTCGATAGCTTTAAAACTGAGAGACTAGTTTGCGTAGAAACAGACAGACGGACAGACAGACGGACAGACAGACGGACAGACGGACAGACGGACATGGCTATATCAACTCAGGAGGTGATCCTGATCAAGAATATATATACTTTATAGGGTCGGAGATGTCTCCTTCACTGCGTTGCACACTTTTGACCAAAATTATAATACCCTCTGCAAGGGTATAATAAATGATTACTAAGTCTAAGCAAGAAGTACTAATTATGCGGAATTAAATGAACTATTTAGCATTTATAAAGGAACTAATTAATTTAGATATGTCAGTATAAGAATAACTATAAGTCTATTAAAGAAATATCTCATATTCATATTAAATGGCTAGATAAAAAAACCCTAATAATAAAATTATTAACTGTTATTAGGAGTGCCAATATGACAGTCATTAAATATTTATACCACTAATAAATACCAAATAATCCTAGTTATTAATTAAAAGGGCTTTACTTCCCAACTTCCATTGTGTAATTTAATTATTGCCACAGAAGTATAATTGGTAAAAAATAAACTCTGCAATAATATAATGAGTAAATGTCTGGGAAGGAGACTTGTACACCCATTGTAAGTGGACAGCTGTCGTCGTAAAAAAAACCCCAGATTCAGACTTCTATAGCTCATGAATGAACCCTTTGGGGCAGGGAAATACCCCACTTACCCACACCGTCTGCTATTTTGCCAAGTGGAAATACTTTCGCAAAGATTTCTGAGACTCGAGACTTTTGTTTCGGCCCGGTTTCTGTTTCTGTTGTGGTTGGCTGCTTTAAATACCGCTGTGTGGGTGTCTTGTTTCGGTTTGTAAGCCGCAGCAGCGGGCTTTAAGGCAAATATTTATTTAATTTTAACATCCCCCCTCACGGCCCGCTGCACAGATCCAATTTACTCAAGTACAAAGACCCTGTCGCGTATATTGTTGAAATTTTATTGTGCAAACATGAGAATGTCTCTATGTGTGTGTTTGTTTGTGTGTGTGTGTGTTTTATGGTTGCCACGTTGGTTTTTCTCATTTATGTACACAAACAAACGCACAACCAACCACAACAAAAAAAATGGCAGTAACACAAACAAAATGGCCGAGGAACCGTTGTTAAGTGTCTCTTATAGCTGCGTTTGATATTGCCTGTGTGTTAGGGCATAGGTTGTGGGTGTAGGTGTAGGTGTAGGTGTATATGTAGGTGTGGTTGTGCTTGTGCTTGTGCTTACCGCAAAAAACACAAATAAAAACCGATTCGTTGGCAAACAAATCAGCAAAACGAAATTTAGGTGGACAATAAAGTTCAGCTGCAGGGCAGCATGCAAAAAAGAGTCACAAACACACAATGACAATAAATATTACGTTGTCTTCTATTTGAGCTTGAAATCGGATAAAAAGTACACAATATGTTTTGCATACGCAAATAAAGCACCATTTAGTACCTGCTAAAAATGACTGTTATTTGTAACTGTTGTTATTAAAAGAAACTTTACTTGGTATAAATGAAAAACACGAATTTCGATTATTCTTGGATTAAAAATATAATTACAAATGTGGCATTAATTACTTTAATTGTATTAGATTCATTTTATTAAATTTTAAAAATAACACAACCTCTTATATTTCTTTTTTTAAGAACCTCAATTGGATATTACATAAAGTGCAAAACGTTTGAAGCTACATTTTAGATCTGTTTTTGTTTAATTTGCAATTTAATCTTAACCTGGCATTTAAACTGTGTTGTAGCAATTATTGCACGTTCCCTTGGGTCACGAACTAATTGGATAAATTGGATAACTCTATCTCATATTACTCTCAAAGCAACAATTTCTCAAAACCCCGACACTTGAACCCGTGTCTTTTCATTCGAATATCTCGTTTCAACCGAAATTGTGGTGAGTGCTGAACTTAAATTCCGGGTTTTCGTCGCCATGTCGAAGCTCTTCAAGCTGAAATCGCTTTAAATAATTTTAATTAAAACAAATGGCACTCGAAATAAAACACGCACATCAAACGGGAGTGGGCGGGACGAGGGGGAGGGGGAGGAGGCGGCTGAATGGAACAGACATGGCGTGTAATTACGCTCGATGGAAGGGGGCAGGGGAAAGGGGCGTGGCATGGGCAGAGGAGAGTGGCAGGACGAACCTTGTTTGTGCATTGAATCAAGTAGAGCTGCTGCTGCTGTTATTGTTGGTGTTGCTGTTGACAATGCACGGCAGCAACATCAGAGGCCACGGCAGCGGCAGCCGAGAAACGCACACAACACAACTACACCCACATCTGCACAGAAACAAAAAGCTTAATTGCCCAATATTTATCTTACTTAAGCATATATTTTTTAAGTAAAAGCAAGAAACAAGCACAGTCCTTAGGACAGACGTTCAAAATATTTAAATAAAATGATCTTAGATGGCTGTGGATTCATTTTCATTTGTGTTCTTTGAAAAGACAGCCGCAGTAGTTAATTTGTATCTTATAATTTTACCATCTGATTAAAGATTTCTTTTCAAAAAAATAATTAGCCAATATGAATAAAAATGAATTTTTGTAATTATGTGCCTTTTTGTTGCCAATCAAATAAAATTTGGGGAAAATATTTAAATTAAGTGTACATTTATTTGACAAACCTTTTTTTATTTGTTTAAGTTTTAAACCAAATTTTGAAATATCTATCTTAGCAATTCAGTAAAAAAGAACAATTAGAAAAATAAATTATTTGATTATTAATAAAAACTGTTGGCATAAATAAATAATCGTAGTAAGAACATCTGCTACATTATGTGTTTTCAGCATTTAAAAGTCAAAATCAAAAAAGGGCTTAACAAAAAGTGGTTTACTCAAATAGCAGAAAGTTGCAACATAAAAAAAAGCAAAACAGCTGCTCACTTTTGGTTTACAATTTTTTCGCAGTGAGCAGTTTTTCAGGAAGAGGTCCTGGCCGCGCTTTTGTTAGTGACAAGTTGAGACAGAGAGCAAACATGGCCAGCGACGCGCCGAGCGGACAAACTCCCAAACAACTTCATTTTGGGTGCTCTTGGCGAACATGTTGGTGTAGTTCTCGCGGCACTTTTCACGCTTGACGCTGGCACACAGGCTTTCACACAATCAAGGGTCCCCGAAATTGGCCAACTCCCACGCAAGCTACATTTCTCCGCCCCCCAAAGTCCGGGAAAAAACAAACCCAATTGTAATTAGACTTGAGCGCTGCCCCCCGAGGGAGGAGGCCAAAAGGGGGCGGTGGACTTCCTATAATTACATTTAATCATTGTTATTTTAGGCTCTCCAATGCCTAAGTGCCACCACTGACCATGCCCCCACCGCCCGTGTCCATCCGCACGTAGATGGCACAAAAGCCAAACAAGCGGCATGCATGTGTGTGTGTGTAAGGGCACTAAGGACATTTGATAAAAAGCCACTTAGTGCGGCATTGCCGCCTTAACTAAAGCCGGGAAAATCTGCCCGAAAATGCTCCACACACTTCTCATCCATAACCCATTTGGGCTTACGATGGGGAGATCGTGTTGGGTCTTCTGCAGCTGGTTAACACTTTGGGCGTGCCACATTTTGACAATATCAAAGTTGAGTGACGCAGCTGACAGCGGCGGCAGTTTACTCCTCTGGCAGCCTGGGCGGCAAATAAATAACGTTTAAAGCGTAAATATGGTAAACGACGTTAACGGGCGCCTCAAGTGTCAGTTGTCGGCTGTCAAAGCCACAAGAGGCATTGGCCCTCTTAGCTTGTGCTTATACAGTTGGCCAAAAGCCAGGCCAAAGCTGGTAAATAATTATTATTAAGGCAATGCGCACAAAATATTCAAGTTGTGCCATCGTTTTCGGCCAGTGTGCCACGTCCCTGTCGATTGACAATGAGATTGCGCATACGCCGGGTGGGCAAGCCAAAGATTTTCACTGCCAATTACGCTGCAGAAATTCGTTGGCTAAGCGAGACGAGCGTTGCTCAAGCGACACTTGTTGAGGGCGGAAATTTGCAAATCCTGAAGATGTCAAGTTGAATTTAAGTACGTCCCACAAGCTGCCAAAGACATTTTCCTTGAATTTGCTATTTTTTTGCAGAAAGAAAAACAGACTCAGAGAGCTATAAAATTATTTCTTGGCATGCAAATTGCATTTGGTTGTGCTTTTTCCGGACCATTTTCTTTGGCTGTCAACGGGGAGCTGCAGATAAGGCGAAAACGAATGGATTTCCAGTCCTGAGCTGTGCCAGTTTTTCCTTGGCTAACAATGAAAATTACTTTTCATATTTAATTGCAGCCGCTGCAGGATACGAGAACATGTGGCCAAATACCAAAGCCAAAGTGCAAGCCAAATGCCACATTAAATTACATCAAAGTCAAAGAAGGAAAAGAAATTCCCCCAACTTGCAATTGAAATTTGTTTGCCAACTCAAACACGAACATGGGGGCACCCAAAAAGTTGGTCGAAATTAGACGTGCCAAGCAAGTAATGGAGACACCCAAAAGGAAATGCTTATTATTTGCATAAATTCCATACACACAAAGCCCCCGACAAAGTGACAGGCGGAGAGTTGAAAGAAATGCAAATTGTGTTGGCAAATTTAAATGTCAGTCAACAATTCAGTTGTTAAACTCGCATTACACACAAAGCCATAGACATTGCTGGCCGTGCATACGAAAAACTTGTTACTCATACGCCCCGTAGTCCATTTCCATCGGACTTTTGTCTTTAGCTATCTGGTATCTGCGCTTAATCGAAAAGCGTGCGTGACTTGTTGGGGGGGCTGACTTATCATTTTTGGGAAAAGAAAACTTTCGACAACTTTTCACTTTTGTTAGGTATTGCCACAGCAGCTTTTGGTTTTGCCATTCGATGTCAATTTAAAGTTTCTTCTCTACTTCCCTTTCATCTCCCTGGATTTTGTGTTTTTTTTCTTTTTTTTTTTTTGATGCCGAAATAAAAGTTTCTATATGGCAAAGTTGGCGCAATTGTGAGAGTTCTCCGTCCTGCTGTGCTGCTGCATCCGGCATAATCGATTCGCTTTTGCCTTTTTCATTTTAATAACTTTTCCAGCAGCCACGGCAAAATAACAAGCACTGCAACAATTACGTGCCGCAAGTGCAAGAGCAGCAAACAAGCGGCAAACAACGAAACAAACCGAAAGCAGCGGCAATCGACAACAATGGCAACAAAGGCGGCCACTAAACCTGGATCAGGAGCTGTGCGCCAAACTGCGAACTGGGTTAAACACTTGGTTGGAGTTTCCACCTGGGCTCCCGTCCGACTTTCCCTGACTCCCTGTCTCCCAATTTCCACCTTCTCCCTTGACATTTGGCTGGGGCAACTAAGTTGCCATTGCCGTAGCAGTTGCCCCTCCGTTGCCCCTTCGCGATGCATTCAAGTGGATGTTACCTTGGCCATAATTGAGGCACGCGCTAAGCGAAACAAATAACAAGGGGAGCCGCAGCAGCAGCTGAAAAGATTGCTGGCCCTAAACCCTTTAAATTCAAGTTAGACACTAAGCAAAAAGGCGCTGATAATCAATTTAAACGCTTATAAAGAATTAAAGACGTAAAGACATTTCATAATCTAATATCATCATCGATTTACCATTAGAAAAACTGACTTTAAGTGGGAAAGAATAAAAATATGGATCTAAAGACTATTCAAAATTAAAGAAAAAGTCAATTAAAAATAATAATAAATAAATAATTTAAATAATCGATAAGTACAATATAAATTTTTTAAGGAAAAACTATATTTAACGGTCATACTCTTGGCTTAAACAAAATATCAATCAACTTACATAAATTTAAGTGCTAAACTAAGTAAATTTTAAACGTTCATATTTTTTGTTAGCACAACATATCAAATCAACTTACGTAAATTTAAGTACATAAGCTATGCTAAAACTTTTTGTTTTCTCTGTAACAAGATTGATGGAATGGGTTGCGTACGGGATGAAGAGCAGGCGCCCATTTACCCAGTTACACGTAGTCGACTCATAAGCTAGCATAACACATTGCTCGAGTACTTGTTTCTGTAGTTTCTCTACTCACCGAAAGTTAATTTCCGCTTGGGCGTCGCACCTGCAACGAAAATGGAATGAATGAAACGTAATTTATAATTAATATTAACGCATTTTCGATTCAATAATAAATGAGGCTAATTTATTTACAGCCAGACCACCGCAGGGCTACTATTTTGAGGATCGCGGGGAATGAGGTGCAGTTTTTGAAGGTAAAAGTTTCATTTTGGCGAGCTGTAGCAGCCAACGCATTTTAATTCAATTGAAGTTGATTAAAAATTAATTTGAAATTAAATGTGAACTCAATGAAATTGTAGTTAAACATAGTGGAGCTAAACGAGAGAGAAGAAGGAAAAAACCTGGCATTTGACAGGCTGTGACATTTTAGGGACGGAAGAGCAACAAGAAATTGATTGGATGGAAAATTGCGAAACTTAAACAGGGCAAACATGTGAGTGAATGTGGGTGGATTACCAATACATAGGCAGGTGAAGCGGAAACGGAAGTTGTTACAAAGTCCGTTGAAATCAATTTTAAAAGTAAACTTGTTAGGTGGAAAACCGAAACAAGAGAATGCCAACGGAAACCAAGTGGGCTGAGTTAGGACCCGAACAAGAAAGGGAAAACTAATTGCAGCGCTCATTTTTTGCTTGTTAATGGGCCCGCAAACGAGCTTCGAGTTTCCCTCCTTCTATCGATCCTTGAAACTCACACATGCTCACATGTTGCCGTACACACACACACATGCGTTCTGCTTGTGCCATCGCAAAAGTTTTTCCCCCAATTTTATTTGCCTCATTTCGCTGCCATTGTTGCCGCTCGTTCGAAATCTGCGTGCGCAAGTAACAACATTTTACAGCTGCAATTAAAGTTAGTTAGCCCGCTCTTCCTCCCCGCTTTTCCTCCATTTCCCGATGCACTTCCCACAACAAGCTAATGCACTGCACTTTAATTAACCCAACACCAGGAGAACAAACCAGAAATTATACACCCCTTCGCTTTCTGCCCAGCTAATGGCAATTTATGTGCGATAATTTGTGGTATGAAAACCATAAAAACAAGTGCGAGTAGTCCAATAACAATCAACTAAATAACGGAACACTCTAAAATGGAAAAAATATTCATTTATTCTGTATTTAAATACCCATAACTCGGTCTAAGGCGTAAAAATTTATATATATTTTATTGCTTCGAATAAACATGCTTTAACTATGCACTTAAGAGGGAAAATGGACGGTTGTCCGCTTTTTGGAATCCAAAATATTTTAGACACAATCGATACACCTTTCTAGCTAATTTGTTAAATGGGTTCCCTTTAACAATGCGGATATACAAGTCTATTTATTTACTCTTGAAGTAAATTTAAGCTAAGGACATTGGTAATTTCTTGTAGCTTCCAAATGTAAAGGCTTAAAAAATCAAAATAACAAAAATATCAATAAAAACTCCATGTTCCTGTAAAAAAAGCTACATTTAGTTATATAAAAGGTTTTCATAAAGTCCCAATCAAAGTTTAAAACCGTGAAAGCCTCGAAAGCGAAAAGATCTGTTAAAAGGGCATTGATGTGCATTAGAGTCAATTACCAGGGATTGCAATGCCCACGCAGTCGAGCAGCCGGAGGCAATCAGCATTATCAAAGGCTTTTAATTGCCATAAATCTGCAAAAGTTGTTAAAAACCCATTTAAAATTGTCACCGTAATGGCACACTCAACCGGCTCAGTGGCATTTAACCGACTATCTTCCACTCCCTTACCTACCCTCTTTCCATCCATTCCCCTTTATTTTCTTGGCCCACTTCCTTCTTCTGCAAACTTCAGATGCAGCCTGCCTGGGATGTTAATTAGAAAACTCTTGAAAATTATTAAAAACTTTCCAAAGCTGTCAGGCAGACGAGAGCAGGAAAGATACTAGTGGTAATATAGTATATATATATCAAATAGTTGCAAACTTACTGCACAATTTCATAGGTTCTTTTTGTAGGTTTTGGAAATAAATATTACTTGATAAATAACTTTTGAAAGGGCTGCGCAAAAGTTTCTGATTGAAATATTAATCTTTGTAACCAGTATAATTTCATACTTTTATTAAATTAAATATAATCACACCTCACTGCAATCTTTCTAGATTAACTCAACTGGCTTCCGTATTTCACAATTTGTCGTAGGTTCTTGAATTCTAACAGTTTGGCTCAATTTACGTAGCCTGTTTTCATTCAAGCTGATCATTCTCACCCCTTTACAAATTTATTCATCGGTCAGGACGGTCAATAAACACGATCTCTCTAATGGATCTCTACACAAGTGTCTCTGTTTCTCATTCTAAGTTCGTTTCTGTCTCTGCCATCTGCATCCCACTTAGCACCTTTTATTAGTGCCAATTAAGACTGATTTCACGATGCGTTCCGAGCTATTTCTGACGAGATTACAGCCCCAGACTGCCCCAAACTAGATAATCAACCGCACAGAATTTGTGGCGAGGGGCTGACATTGAATCCAAACATCTGAGTCTCTGGCAGTCTGGGTTTCCAAGTTTCAAGGCGTCTGGGTATCTCGATTGCGGTTAGTTAAACGCGCCATCTCAAAGTGCACAGTTCTCTGAAATGACGAAGCTAGAGATTTCCACCAAGTCGGAAAAGCCGGCTGAGCAGTGGGGCAACGGCCTGGAGTTCCTCTTCTCCTGCATATCTTTATCCGTCGGCTTGGGCAATATATGGCGTTTTCCGTACATTGCCTTCCAGAATGGCGGTGGTACCTTTGTGATTCCGTATCTGATTGCCCTGCTGGTAATTGGACGTCCTGTCTACTATCTGGAGATTTCCCTGGGCCAGTTCACGGGTCGCGGCGTGGTCAAGGCCTTCGATATAGCTCCCCTGCTCAAGGGCGTGGCTGTGGGTCAGGTCCTGGCCACAGCCGCCTCCATTACGTACTACTCTAGTATTATGGCCTTGACTCTGAGATTCCTGGTGGCCTCTTTCGGCTCTGAGTTGCCGTGGAGTCGCTGCTGGGAAAGCTGGGGCAGTGATTGCCATGACGGAAGTGCTCTGAATAGCAGCGGAAAGATGTCGCCAGCGCAGCTATATTTTGAGTGAGTTCCACGAAAACAACGGAATTCATTAACAACTAATTAAGACTGTCTAATTAAGTTTTAAAAATACGTAGCTTGACGTATTCAAAATATATAACGTATATTAAACAAATATCACGTATATTTAAAAAATACAAGTGCAAAGGATTTAAATCATCGAAGCAAGTAATGTGAAGTTTTTTAAATGCAGTTTAGCTGTTGTTTTTGCGTTTTTGTATAAGTTAATTTCTTGGACAGATTAAAATGGATCTGGAATTTATTTTTTTTAAAAATTAAAAACACCTTGTCGACGACTATTAAGTCTGAATTATTTAGTTAGTATTTCTACAAGAAATCTTTTTCATTTCCATTCTCAGACGTGAGATCCTTCATGAGGTGCCCAACATTGACAATGGAGTGGGACTCCCCAACTGGCAATTGGTCGCCTGTTTGGCAGTGGCTTGGCTTATTATCGGTGGTGTCCTAATTCGCGGCATCAAAAGCAGTGGCAAGGCGGCCTATTTCTTGGGCGTATTTCCCTATGTGGTGCTGCTCATCTTGCTGCTAAGAGCTGTGACTCTTCCAGGAGCCATCGACGGCATCATATACTTCTTTAAGCCACAATGGAGTGAGCTGCTGAACCCACTCGTCTGGTATGCTGCTGTAACCCAGGTCTTTTTCTCCCTCGCCATCTGTTTTGGCACCCTGATCACCTACGCAAGCTACAACAACTTCAATCGGAATGTTTACAAGTAAGTTTTGGGTACTTAACCTTGTGCTTTTTCTTAGATACCAGTTTCTAAGCTTTTGTGACAAAAAACCAGCTATTATAAGCCAAGGTAAATTACATCGTTTTTCCCTCACACTAACTTTTCGCATAAATAACTCTCCCCCAGTGACATTGTAATAATCACCACCATGGACTCCTGCTCATCCATAATTGCTGGCTGCATCACCTTCGGGATTCTGGGGAATCTGGCCCGTGAGACTGGAGTCACGGATATTGGCAGCGTGGTGAAGGGCGGCGCCGGATTGGCCTTCATCTCGTATCCGGAGGCCATTGCCAAGTTCGAGTATGTGCCACAGGTAAGTTATCGCGAACTTACAGCGCCATGGGCGCCCTAAAGCACAACTACCTAAAGATGTTCGCGGTCCTTTTCTTCCTCATGCTCTTCGTCCTAGGCATTGGCAGCACTGTGGGCATGGGCTCCTGCATCCTGCGCGTCGTCCGGGATCAATTTGGGCCACGCTCGCCGCCCATTTGGAAGCTGGCCACTGGTCTAGCCGTAATAGGCTTCGCCGTGAGCATTGTTTACATGACCCCGGGTGGTCAGTTTATCCTGAACCTTGTGGATTTCTACGGCGTATCCTTCACCGCCTTGATCCTGGCCATTGGCGAGTTGGTGGCAGTTGCTTGGATTTATGGTAGGTTGATATGTAACTATGCGATTTGTGCGATTCCCATTTCATGCAACCATATTATAATATGGGAAAATGTATGCATAAACATCATTCGCCTACACACAACAATTTACTAAGAATTAAGCTACCTTTTATTAAATGAAGTAGCGCTGCCAGGTTAGTCCCAACCATAAATGGCATCCTTGAACTGACATATTCGATTTTTCTTCATTATTATAAGCCCAATTTAAGCTCATGTCTACAATCAGTGATTCCCGTAAATTACTTGCTTTATCTTTATCCACCTGCATTGGTTTATCGATATCCACCTGCATTCTTGAATTAAAAAGCACTCTTTTGATTTTACTAATTGAAGAATTCGTTAAATCCTGAGCACAACCATATAATAAGATTAAATTCCCAACATTCCCCGGAAAACAATAACGATTTTCCCATTCTTAAATCTTTTGTATTTCAAGGTGTTAATCGCTTTTGCGCGGACATCAAGTTCATGATGGGCATTGAAACCGGTTGGTATTGGCGCCTGTGCTGGCGTTTTATCACGCCTGGTTTGATGACCGCCGTGCTCATCTAC